AGCCGTCATTGTTGTTTGGCGGGTCCAGGCTGGGGATTCGAACCCGCCACCTTAGGTGTACGTGGCTGGCGCCTTAGCCGGTTGAGCTATAGGCGCAGAGCCGTCATTGTTGTTTAGTAGGCCCAGGGCAGGTTTGAACCCACCAGCCTTGGTGTATGTGGCCAGTGCCCTAATCACTGAGCTATGGGCACCAAGCCAATTTTGGGAGCTTTTAAAAATGCACAACCATTCGTTTTCAGCCATCTTCCAGTAATTCACCAAACACAAAAGGAAAGAGGAGAGCCACCTGATACGTATTCTCTAGGCTTTTTAGAAATCATGGAGTTGTTCCTTTGGCCACATATATGCAAATCTACAAGGTGACATTGTAGACAAGGGAATGGGTACTGTTCTAAAAGGCATACCACACAGATGTTACCATGGCAAAACTGGAAAAGTCTACAATGTTACCCACCATGTTGTTGGCATTTTTGTCAACAAACAAGGCCAAGATTCTTGCCAAGAGGATTAATATTCATACTGAGCATAGTAAGCACTCTAAGAGCTGAGATAGTTTCCTAAAATGCATGAAGGAAAATGATCAGAAAAAGGACACCAAAGATAAAGGTACCTGGGTTCAACTGAAGCGCCAGCCTGCTTCACCCAGAGAAGCTCACTTTGTGAGAACCAATGGAAAGGAGTCTGAGCTCCTGGAACCCATTCCCTATGAATTCATGGCATAATAGGCTACAGCACCGAGAAAACGAATGCAACAGGAATATAAGTTGCTGGAACCTATTCCCCATGAATTCATGGCATAATAGGCACAGCAAGCTTTGTCACATTCAATGGCACCTCCCTGAGTGGCTGAAACCTTTTCCCTGTGAACTCATAGCATAATAGGTATTAAAAATAAAAGGCTACTATAAAAACATTCCTCTTCATTGACTAAAAGTGTGGTATTCCCTTCCCCAAAGAAGTACTTAAAGCAAATTTTAATAGTATCCTTAAAAAAAAAAAAAAAAAAAAGATCAACCACACCCCAGACTAATTTGGTCAGGTTTTCATAAGGGGGCAGGACACAGGCATCAGTAATTCTTAAATCTCCCCTGGTAATTCCAATAAGAAGTCAAGGGTGGTGCCTGTGGCTCAGTGGGTACAGCGCCAGCCCCATATACCAAGGGTGGTGGGTTCAAATAGCCAGGCGTTGTGGCTGGCGCCTGTGGTCCCAGCTACTTGGGAGGCAGAGACAGGAGACTCGCTTGAGCCCAGGAGCTGGAGGTTGCTGTGAGCTGTAATGCCACGGCACTCTGCCCAGGGGGACAGCTTGAGGCTCTGTCTCAA